TAACAATATTTTTATTCTACATTTATCCATTTTAAATACACTAACCTCACTCCTTTGTAACAACTAAGGCAAAAATGTAATTAATTCAGAAAATCTTCTCAGGACCCCACCTTGATGTTTCAGGACCCCACTTTGGGTCCCGACTCCAACTTTGGGAAACACTGGTCTAGATAATCTGTAGGAATTGATTGTAATATAAATGAATGTGTTTTCAGAGGCTGCTCTCAGGTTGGCATACTGCGGGCTCTTAACGAGGCTGGGATTCCTGTCGACATGGTATGTGGCACCTCCATCGGCTCCTTCATGGGAGCGCTGTACGCTGAAGATAAGAGCAGCAGTCGCATGAGGGTTCGAGCTCGTGAATGGGCCATGGTGTGTGGACTTAAAACTTAATTTATTATGTCACGTTTTGCAAAGCTTTTCTGTTATTTGTTTTGTTTCAATCCACTTTGTTCTTCACGTTTTATTTCTTTCTCTCATCTTTAGGGTATGACTTCTCACTTCAAGAGGATCTTAGACCTGACCTACCCTGTCACCTCCATGTTTTCTGGAGCCTCTTTTAACTACAGCATTAGCTCTGTCTTTAAGGACAAACAAATTGAGGTAAGTTTCTCAAATGAGTATTTGTGCTATTTGTGAAAAAGCTATGAACAGATAGTGTACCTGTTGTAGATGTTGTAGAGTTTATTCTGACAGGACAAGCTAAAGGCTAGTCCAATCAGGGTCAAGATTATATAAATCACTGCCATCTTAAAGCATCTTCAGTTTCCAAAATTTCGTTGCATCCATGCAAACGCTGGATGTAAACTTTTACATCTCCGTCAGTTTTTACATTTCACAATTATTGCATGAAATGTTAAAGTTATTTGCAATCGCAAATAAAAACAGTGGTCAGTGGTATTTACAGACTTCTTTAACATCTGTGCCAGCGACAGGCAGTGGCTTTAAATGATTCAAAGTGCGATCGTCATGACTTGAGTAGTTTTTGTTCTGTTCTTGTTACACTCATCTGCATGGGCATGGAAGTCTGGGGGAAAGTGGACCTCAGTACCCAGGGCCCAAGAAGGGAGAGGGGCCCATGGAAGTCCTGATTTTTTTTTCCCCCAAATGAAATTGGCCCTTCAATTAATGGTGTAGTAATTCATTTCAAATATATCAATAACATAAACTGAGAGAATGAACTTTATTTCACTGTCCACACCATATTGGACATTCTGGGGGTCCCCTCTTGGAGGTGCAAAATGGTTTAGTCCACCTGACAGCAACCAGCTACAAGTGTAACGTCAGTAAACCCAGACTGAATGAGCTGAGGGCAGACCCGGACAGACTATTGAGGGAACAGGGAGGTTTCCTGTGGTCTGCCTGCTGGCTGGCTGGTCTGCTCAGCTGGTTAAAAGCTCCGGTCGCTCTAGAACTTTTAAYTAAACAATTTGGTGTTGTCCTGCTTCAGGGCTGCTGCGTGTCCCGGAGTCCGACACATCCCCCCTTGCCCCCTCCCTTCCTTTCCTCTGGCTCACTGAGACGCACACACAGTGCAGAGAGACACACGTAGTGCAGTGAGAGACACACACACACAGTGCAGAGAGACACACACACACACAGTGCAGAGGCACAATGTGGTGATGAATTCTCAGTGCTCCTAGAGCTGCAGCAGGTAGCGTCAGTCTCATTAACAGAGCATCCAACTTTTGATCAAACTTTATTCTTTACAAAAAACCTGAAATAAGTTCACAGGACAGCTGTTTGTCTTATGAGAAGTTAGCTTGCCGCTATAGTCACACATCATAGCTAATGTTAGCAATCACTTTTAGTGATAGCATTTAATCTGTTATTGAGTTGTTTTTAATCAGTTAAACTGTATTTTAATCCTAAAATTGAGTCCACTCATATATTTATTGATTATAATTTACATTCATAAGTCACCCAATATTTCTGTTTTTTATTCCAGGGGTTCTTAACCTTTTTGAACTCGGGGCCCAATTTGTTGAACATAAAGTGACATGAGGCCCAGTCACACATTACCAATGTATGGATCAAAAAGATAATTATTCTAATCTAAATCTTGGTTAAATTTTTATTGTATTTACATCATAACTAAACTATCATAACTAACATAACTAAATTAAATACATTTAGAGTTTAAAAGTAAAACTCCTGTCAAATAATCACAAAACATGATTATGACAAACATTTTTATATTGTAACCTGCCCATAACAATTATTTGAACAAATACATCAGTCAACAGACCACTCAGGCTTATCAGCACAAAGTATACATAAATTTTAATTGAAAAAAATAGACAATTCAAAACGTAAAATTGTGGACATAAAATAAATAAATTAAAAATGTTTAATGTAAATGTTTCAAATAAAAAAACCTGTAAAAATAAATTTGATAAAGTACAAATGAAAATATAGCATTTTTAAACTTTTGCAACCAGAAGCTGCTCTTCATATTAGTGACAAACAATAAAAGTAACAACAGCTTTTTGACAAGTTGGTCAACCAAATGGCTGACCATATTTTGAGCTGATAAAATTCAAAGAAGGGAGTGTTTAACCAAACTGATTGAGTCATCTCTACAATTTGGTTGAGGTATGTAATGCTAAAAACACCCACCAGAAGGCACTGTGACAGTAAATGGTTAATTCATCTTTCCCTCCTCCAACCAGGAAGTCAAGAACAAGGAAATTTAACGTGACATCACGACAGTTTTTGGAAAAACTTTGAAAGAAATTTATACTTTTTTTTTACATATTTTGGTAATAAAGGCTTTAATAAACAGAATTATGACCCTTGATGCAGCTCAGAACCTGTAAGTATACTTAAATTTTTTATTTTGAAAATGTGCTCTACCAAACAGTTGATTTGTCAATTCCTAGTATAGGTAAAAAATTTAAACCAATCTAATTAAATTCAATTCAAATTCAAAATTACTTTATTGATCCCAGAGGGAAATTAGGTTGTTAAATATGATTACATCCCATAAAATAAACTTATTCAAACCCTCTACTTTATTTATTTATTTGAATGTAACTCATTAAGTGTTAGTTTATTGTGAATATGCTTAAGGTGTTTTCCTACTCTTTACTATTGTTGATTTATAAGTTGATCTTAGTTACTATGAGTAAAATCCAGAAAAAAAAACATGTAGAAATCATAATATACCCAATAACCCTAATGAAATAACACTAGCTAGTGTACTTATATCACTATTTTTTTGCCAAGAAAATTCATCTGGAATTTTTATTATGATTTGCCACGGTCCCAACATGTATCCACATCCATCAATGTTGCCCTCAGTGAATCTAAAAAAGGCTACTTCTTGGAGCTAAATTGGTGAAATTATTCAAAATCATAAAAAAATTCTTTAGCTGTCTGTTGTCTTTTGTGATTACAAGTTTCATCTTGGTCCAGAACTTGCATGCATCTTTGGGTGTTAAGTGCATTGGTATCGTATGACCAAACTACATTGGTGAACATCCTTTGATAGCAGACTTTGAACTAATGAATAAAGGGTCATGGAGCCTAAGATAACAGGTCTGATGAAGGGTTAATTGCAATAAAATGGTTGAATGACAAATATGTCAACCCACTGAGCAATAACTGTCAACTGGTGGATCACTGAGTCTTGTATGAATATTGCTATCCCATGGTCATCACTTATCGCTGCTTACAATGAGCATATTAAAGGTATTGCTGTTTCAGATACGCTGGTACACCTGTACAAGACCCTAGCTAACTCCAGATCACATCCCCTATTTGGATGCTTCCTGGATCTGTGCATTGCAAATTCACTTCTTCCCTCTGACAGATGAAATGATGCCCCCAAGACCCCCTGACCAAAACCACAACCAGTGGAAATTTTCGTATTTTAGGACACTGGCCTATTGTGACAATTAAAAATAATACAACCTATGCCCCAAGGGTGTATAAAGGTTTTTTAATTGTTTTCTTGTGTTTATACACACCAGCAATGTATCCTCGGTARATCACCATAAATCAATATCTAATCCTCAAAAAGAGTTGTGCAATTACACAATCACACCAATGACGTGAGTTGAGTCAGAAACAAAATTTAAAATGTTTCACACTGTTTTACCGTGTTTGGAATTTTAGCAAGCAAAAACCAACACTACTGGTTCAATCAATTCACAAGAAATGTAGATCTTAAGAACTAGTGCTCCACCACAGATGAGGTTTATTGAAATTTGGAAGTAAGAAATAGAATTGTTTTTTTTTGCTTTGTTTTGTACTAACTTTTTATTTTTTATTACAAAAATTAGTTAATAACAGGAGCACTCAATCAGAGGTCAACTAAATCGTGTGCTGTTGCACTTTTTTACCGATGCAGTCAACCTGAAACTTTATAGATTTGTTTGATACAGAAATTTACTTTGTTAAAATGAAAAGACACAAAGTTTTGTGGCACACTACCAAAGATCAAATATCTTTATTTATTTGTATACATTTTTTCTCTTTTTATTTGCGAAAGAGCATGTTTTTGTTACTTTTTCTAATATTTGTGCCATTTGTTTGCAATTTTGTATTTTAACCATTAACGGACATCTCAACTGTTTGGTAGAGGTCAATATTTTAAAATATAAAGGGTATGTTATAAAAAAATCATTGATTGTTGTCATTAGCCACCTAAGGAAATAAGAAATACAAAAAAATATTTTTTTCATTGAGTTTTTCTTGGTGTGGACCTCAAAGGGTTAAGACAGCAAAATGGGTCTACTAACAATAAATAGCCATAAGGACTCATTTCAGCAGAGTTCTACAATCTTAAACTACTAATTTGCTTAATTCCATAGATTTTTGTGCAAATTCTTCTATTTGAACCTTTACACAGCTCTCAATTTTCATTAAACTTTTTTTGTCAAACATGACATTTCTGCAGGAAGTGCCCCAGGCTGCACTAGAGGTGCTCCGGGTGCTCCAGGCACTTGTGTGGTGCAAACTGACAACAGTGTAAAGGTTTACAAATCTAACTACAAATGTAACCACTCAACAGGTTTCTTCTCTAGATTTACAAATAAATGTTTGTATGAATATTGTGTTAAAAGGAGAAGAATAAGTTTGTGAGACTTGTTTTTTTATGCTGTTTTTGTTTTTGTCCCCTCTGCTCTGCCAGGACCTGTGGTTACCGTACTTCAACATTACAACAGATATCACTGCTTCCTCCATGAGAGTTCACACTGATGGTGTGTGACACTAACATCTACTGAAAATCTCTCCACTCCTTTATTTAGAAATAAAATACTAACACTAAATCTGACAATCAAAAATTCTAACTGATGGAGACTTGCTCTCTTTTTTAAAGTTTGACATTTGGAGGAAAAATCAGTCTCTGAAGATGTTTTTTTACGTTTTATATTGTATGAAAGAGAAAATTAATCATTGCTTTGACAAAAAAATATTGAATTGTACACTTTAACATTGTGGCTTTTTAAAATCTTAAGCTTAAAATAAATAACTTTTGAAGCCCGTCTTAGCTTTTTTCTGCATCTTCCAGCTGCTTTTTTACTCCTAATAACTATTTTTCTGCATCTCTTTTGCTTTTCTCTGCTCCTTTCAGTTTGGTTTCTTTTATTTAGTTTCAGCTTTAGCAAATTTCATCAATCCTTCAGCCATTTTCAGCTAAAAATGCAACTGTTCAAATTTAGCTAGCATTGACAGTTCAGCTATTTAAATATTTCATTTCAGTTTTAGCTTTCTCGGAAGCTTACAGCAAAATTTCTGCAGGAAATTCAGTTGATCTAGTTTTTAATAAAGATATTGAGCAATGTGATGCTCAGAATGTTAGGTGTCAGATTTACCTACTGTTGCCCCACGCTTTATGATTTTTATGATTTTTATAACCTTGCCTAAGATGGGACATATTATGGAATAGTGTTGTCTGTCCATCTGTCTATGGAAAAATATTTTTGTCTGAGCTTTAATTTGATAGAAGCCTTTGACATAGAAAGGTCAAACTTCACAGCTGGACACGTCATTGGTCAAGAATGATGAAGAGTCAAAGGTGACAGTCATTGGTGACCCGTGTCAAAATCTTGTCTATGTATAAACTTGAGTAACTTAAACCCTTTGTTTCCTAGATTATGTCTTCTGTCRGTCCATAAGACACAGTAAAGGCTTGTAAGGGTGTAAGACAGGGATAGTCAATTCCGGTCTTCAAGGTCCGCAGCCCTGCATGTTTTATTTGTTTCTCTTCTCTGACACACCTGATTTGAATGAATGGTTGATTTTCAGGCTTCTGCAGAACTTGGAATAGGAAATTCACTGACTGAATCAGGTGTGTTAGAGAAAGGGAAAAAAATAAAACTTGCAGGGCTACAGACCTCGAGGACTGGAATTGATTATCCCTGGTTTAAGACATCAGATCTTGCTGACTTGGTTGTGAGACAGGCTTTTTCTTAGGAGAACCTGGAAGAACTGATTGTTGTCCAACAGCAGCACATGCTACACAGAAACAACAGATGTTTATTTTTTGTTGAGGATGGAGGAAATGGAGGAGGAAAACCTGATACTTCTGTTGTTAACTGAGGAGAAGCACTTCTTTGTGAATTTGTCTCAAAGAGACCACTGCCATTTCTAACAGGTGGTATGGTAACATGTCTCTGTCTGCCTGTATGAAGTACTCTATCTCTTCTGGTCAGCACATAAAATACACCTTTTTATCCCATGTTTTACCATAGCAGACATATATATTTAGTTTAATTGTGTGTTTGGATTGTTATTATTCTGAGAATTCACTGAATGTTATATGATGTACAGTTAGTGGTACAGTTGGTGGTACGAAGTAGGAAGAGGTAGCCATCTTGAATCAGGTTGATTCCAGAAGTCAGTCAGTTGTAGATCCACATTAATATTTATTTATTTATTTATTTATTTTTAATCTTCCGTAATTTCAGCTAATTCAAACTGGAACTAAAAATTCATTTGTAATGGTATGTCTGTGTTAATAGGCAGGGATGTTCTTTTCTTTTCCATTCTCTACCTGTAGTTAAATACCAGTTTCTTGTTTTTAGGATCGTTGTGGCGTTATGTTCGTGCCAGCATGTCACTGTCCGGCTACCTGCCTCCTCTCTGTGATCCCAAAGATGGACACTTACTAATGGATGGAGGGTACATCAACAACCTTCCTGGTGAGAAACATTATCAGAGGGCTTTTAATTGTAATGTTATACATATAACTACTGTTCCCTAAAGGGGCGAAATAAGGTTCAACACAAAATATGGGACATCACATCCCTGCATGTTCTGGCTAAAGACACTTCTAACTTAGCCTGGTAAAAACCAGCCCCTTGGACAAGACATTTGGCCGAGACATTTGTAGAGCACCAGCTCAACAGTGAAGGAAGCTAAGCTAAGAAGCTAACAGGAAATTGTGTGAACTGTAAACAACCATCCCGTACTGGGAAGAAAGAAGTACTGAGCTGAATGAGATGAGTGTAAATGAGTGCTGCAGGTTTTATGAGACAAATTTTATTTAATTGCAAACCTTGTCAACATGGACCAAATGGATTCACTCATCCATCCATCCATCCATCTGTCCATCCATCCATCCATCCATCCATATAAATACAAACAGGAAGAATGGAGCATGTTTGTCCTCCAACAGTTTTATTAAAATTTGTCCTGTAGCACTAGCTTATGAGATATTTTGCTAATAGACAGACAAATGAGGACAAAAACATGCTTGCCCTCTCCCCTATGGTGGTTGTTGATAAACATACTTATGTGAACAGGCAGAAGCACACAGAAGCATCAGAACACAATCATGAGTTCATGATGAGAAGTTGAAGTGTGATGAGTTCTCTGGGTGTGTTTGTCTCCTGGTGTCCAGCCGACGTGGCTCGTTCAATGGGAGCCAAGGTTGTCATCGCCATTGATGTTGGAAGCAGGAATGAAACCAGTCTGACCAACTACGGGGACTATCTGAGTGGCTGGTGGCTGCTGTGGAAACGGTTAAACCCACTGGCTGAGAAGGTCAAGGTACACTGATCTTTACCTGAACTGACAAATAGCATTCAGCAGTTTAAGACTGTTTAAGTGTAAAGTAGGAAGTGTATCTCCAAATAAACTAGTACAGACTTGTCAGTGGTTTTCTGTAGGAATGTCCCAATCCAGAATTTTTTGGCTCCTGATTCAATCCAATTTTTTTAATGATTAGTCTTTCCGATACCGATCTGATACCGATCCAATAGCTTTATTTCTTTATTTCTTTCCAGTTGACAAGGTTGGTAGTATTAAAGTGAGCCCTGCTGTTCCCACCATGAGAAACATCCAGTTTGCAGATTTTGCAAGATGCAGTTTCAGCACCAATGTTTTCCATTTAAAAGTGTTCCCACACTGTGGACATGGTTGCATACTTGTGTGTGTCTTGACTTCTTAACGGCAGTTGTAAAGGATGATGATGCTGAAAACTGTTGCAAAAACTGGATTGGCCCGATCACATGTGTAGTGGTGACGTAGTGGTGGAATAAACAGTTCCACCTTGGTCTCAGAAGACCTCCTTCAGAGAGACAGAACTCTGTTCAAGTTAGAGCCATAACAGGTTTTCTTAAACAGTAAAGATACGGGAGGCGGAGCAAGATGGCGGAGGAGTGAGACGTGTGTCGCGTGGCTCCCGCTCCAGACTTGTTCTGTTTGTGGTTCTATACTAAATGTCCTTGCTGTTTTGAACATTTGGTCCGTCCGGACTCGACCCCTGAGTGATTCTTGCCTGGAAGAGTAGAAGAATGGCAACAAACTTAAGGAAAGGCAAACATTCTAGCTCGACGGCTGTTAGGCCCGACGCCGCCCCGGAGCAGACTGCAGCTAGGACCGGACTTTCGGCGCCCCCCTCTCCCCGCAGCGAGGTGGACGCACTCTCCTTGAAGTCTGACATTCTTGCCGCTATAAAAACGATCTCTCAGCTGTGATCAAATCCGAAATAAAAGCGGCTTTGGCTGAAGAGTTTACTCTTATTAAAGGAGAGCTACAAGCGGTGAGAGCGGAGGTGGCTAACGGCACGATGCTACTGCGTGCAGATCTGGACCACGTGAAACAGAGCGTTAAAGAGGTGGAGGACAGCTTGTCAACCTGGTCCGAAGAGGTTGTTTCTCTGCACACCACCGTGTTGGAACTGAAAGAAGAAGTCGGCGGGCTCAAAAAGAAGTGTGACGATATGGAAGGGTGCATGAGAAGGTGCAATGTGCGGATTATTGGAGTTCCTGAAACGCCAGAATCCAGCTCCACTTCAGCAGTGGCTAAACTGCTAGCAGAGGTTCTACAGATGGATAAAGAGCCACTGGTTGACCGAGCCCATCGCTCTCCAAGTGGAAACAGGTCAGGCGATAAGCCGCGGGTCATTGTTGCTAAGCTGCACTATTATCAAGAATGTGTGGAAATACTGCGTCGGGCTCGGAGTCGTGGTCCTCTTTGTTTTAAAGAAACACCGATCATCATCACATCTGACTACATGGCGGCTGTGGCCAAGGCTCGAGCGGCTTTTACGGAGTTGAGGAGGCTCCTTCGCAACAGACGAGATGTTCACTATGGCCTGCTTTTTCCTGCACGGCTCCGCATCTCTCATGGGGAGGAAAACAAGGAATTCCTGGATGCCAATAAAGCAATGGACTACATTAAAAAGAGGATCATCTCGGCGACGGACAACGAGGACCGGCGTTGATCGCAGGTCCAGCCCTCATCTATCCATTGTGACTGTCAGGTTGTAACGAACCTTTTAACTTTATGTCCCGCGTTATATCTTGATTTAATTTTAGACATTATTCTCAGGGACAACATTCTTCTTTTTGTTCTATATACGAGAGTTTCACAGGGGATCTGTCCGGATCTTGGTTAGTGATTTATTTATCAGTGCTGCAAGGAGCATAAACAGTAATAATACTTTAAAGTAAGGGAACCCCTTTTTAAATTTTTTTGGTTATTGTTATTTAGTTGTGGCGGGAGTCCAGGCAGGGAGTCAAGCCCCCCAGTATAAGCACAAATGTGTGGATTTTTTGTTTGTTGGGTTCTCCGTTTTTTTTTGTTTTTTTTTTTAGGAGAAAGGGGTGGGACTATACCGGATCTATTTGTTTTGAGAATGTCTTTTTCAGGTTATTTTTTGTGATGGTTTGTGTCTATTGTACTACAGTCAAATTGGCCATAAATGAGCAGTTCTAATATTAACAGGTTCATCAACAGTCACCCAGTTAACTGTGTGAGTTGGATTGTGAAATCCCTCAATGGTCCAGTGAAATTTAGGAAAGTTATGACACATTTAAGACAACTTAATGCTAATATTACTGTTTTGCAGGAGACCCATTTGCGTAAGGCAGACAGTGCAAATCTATGCAGGCGCTGGTCTGGTCAGGTGTTTCAGTCTAATTTCCAATCTAAATCGAGAGGGGTGGCCATCTTAGTTAGTAAACAGGTGCAATTTACGGCATCCAGTGTTAAAAACGGACGCTGAAGGACGTTATGTTATCATGGTGGGAAAACTATACGCACTCCCTGTCATTTTAGTCTCGGTATATGCTCCAAATTGGGATGATCAAACATGTTTAATACACTTT